GGTTTTTGTGGGACAGCTGTGGGACCGGTGGTGGGCCAGGCCTGTCAGGCGGCGCGCCCGGGCGTTCCCAGGTCGCACCATATCCACCCTACATTTGAATTAGATATGAGGGATGCCGGTCAGCCGGGCATTTGTCCATGATTTAAGAGGTTCGGTTGAGTCAGATTTTTCCTTACATGTTAGTCCGGGAGTTTTAGGCCGGTACAAGAGGTCTGGGTGTAGATGCTCTAACTAAATTACCTAAAAGTAAAATGGATCCGTTGCTGTTGCATTATAGGGAGGAAATCGCTCGAGGCCTTGTTTTCATCTATACCTAGCCATGGGAAGCCCGGCCCGACCCGACCCGAAAAAGCCCGACCCGGCTCGGCCAGGCACTGCCCACGGCCCGGGCTCGGGTCTAGATTTTGAGCCCAAAAGCCGGGCAGGGCTGGGCCCGGGCCTGTCATTTTTGCGTTTTTCTAAAGGTCGGGCCGGGCCGGCTCGAAGCCCGACGGGCTTTTATGTGTTCGGGCTGGGCTTGGGCCTAGAAAACAGGCCTGATGGCCGGGCCCGGGCTTGGGTTTTTTGCGTCAGGCTTGGCTAGGCCCGGCCCAAAGCCCAGCCCGGCCTGAGCTATGGCCAGGTATATTCTCGTCCCACCCTTCTTCTAATAAAATATGATTTGGCAGTTCTCGTGCCAATATTTTTTTTATAAAAAGTTTTGACTAGTGGTATTTTGCTATTCCCCCGTCGTATTCTGCTCGCTCCCACCGAAGAAACCCATCGAAACCCCCCTCCCCCAGAAAAATTCCCCAAATTTGTCCGGCCAAACTCATGGACGGAGATCGACGGACGCCGGCGGCCGCGGCCGCGGCCGCATCGGCGGCATCGGTCCTTGACGACGACAACCTCCTCCGCGAAATACTCCTCTGCGTCGCCTTCCCCACCAGCCTCGTCAACGCCGCCCTCGTCTGCAAGCGGTGGCTCCTCCTCGCCTCCGCCCCGGCCTTCCTCCGCCGCTTCCGCGAGCGCAACCCGCCCCGCCTCCTCGGCGTCTGCGTCGGCTACCCGGGCAGGTATCGCTTTGTGCCCCTCCCGCGGCAGCCCCCGGAGCTCGCCGCGCCCATACGCCGCGCGACCTCCTCCTGCGACGCCGCCTTCGCCCGCAGATGCCCGCGAATCAAGCACTGCCGGAGCGGCCGCCTCATCATCGAGGTATTCCACGCCGGCAGATTTGATCACCCCCTCGTGGTGCCGGTTCTCGCCGGGGAGTCTTCAACCGTCCTCCCACTAACCCTGCTGTCCCACGCCCACCGTAACTACTGGGAGAGGCGCACTCAATTCACTGAGCTGTTCCTACCCGAGGATGGGGGCCGCGACGGCATCACCTTGGTGAATCTGTGGAAGGACCGGCAAAAAGTGTATGCGGAGGTGTGCATCCTGAGATCTGGCCGATGGTGCGTCCCTGACATGGAATCAGAGATAGAGCCCCCAAATGGCACAGTCTTCCTTGAAATGCTACCACCCGTCCATGGCAAAGTCTTCATGGTGACCAACTCTGGGTACACCGTGGGTCTAGATTTGGCCACCAGGAGTCTTTTCACCCTTGAGCTACCAGCTGGAGTGCGGAGGAACTATATGCTCTCATGCGCCGAGGATGCAGGGATCTATCTTGTCAGTGCAGACGGGTTTCAGCTCAGTGTGTGGCTCCATCGGATGTCGGGCGATGATAATGATGCAGGCTGGCTGCTGCTGGACACATTTTGTGTCCATGAGGGTCATGCATGCACACCTCGTGCAGAGGACAGTTGGGTTCCTCCTCATGATGTTTGTCTTGATGTTGTTGCAGTCGGGGACAATGCCGACTTTGTCTTCTTGGATCATCCAGCAAGTGGCACTCTGTTTTATGTTCATCTGAGGAGCAGGGTGGTTGAGAAGGTCTACCGGAGGGGGGCAGATGAATGTGGATATAAACGTGCGGCTGCTGGCCACGTACGTGTATCCCCTGTTATGATGATCTGGCCGCCTATCTTCCCAGCGCAGAACGTGGGACATGAGGAATGACCCCCCTGTGTTTGATCGTTGTACTATCTAAACTGAGTATGGCTTCTGTAATAGAGAGGTATGTACTTTGAGTTATTTCTCTACCTAGAACAGTAGATATTGCTGTCATGTAAGTTGGGTCTTAAGAACCTATGTTCATTTCTGTAAAAAACCTGAAGTTTTCAGAGGTATACTGCAATATATCCAGCAAGACTGCACTGATCTTCTAAGCTGACAGTAGTTTGTATAAGATATATTCCATATATGAGGTAATGCTCGGTTGTGTAGAAGAACTTTGAATGGTGGCCAAATAAAAATGACAAGCAGCAACTGGAAGAGAAATAACACAGGGGGGTCAGTCATTTTGTATTTACATTAAAACTGACTTCTGTTTTCCATTTTGTATGTCCACAAAACTATAATCCACCCTTCATCACTAGTTCACTGCTGATAGATGCCATAGAAGTTTTATCCCAATGTCATGCAGAAAAAAATGTGACGTGTGATGTCCACGAACTCCATGACAATGGTATTCCTCGTTACACGCACAAATGGCAGAAATAGTAAATTAGAGTGCATCCAATCCTAGCTTGTCAGGAACCTGATGAATCATCAACTGAAGCATTGATTTGATTCATACCACCACCCATTTTTCTATGTATGGTACTAATAACTAAAGTTCAGCCTATCTCGAATCCTGATTCTTCTTCATTTTTACTCATTCGAGACATCATTACAAGAATATCAAAGATTAGCCAGGTTCCTGACCGTAGCTAACTGTATGGTTTTGCCCCCTCCCAAAAGCAAAGATTACAGGAGGTGCTAGAATTCATTAGATGGAGTTTTATCCCAAATTCGCAATGGCATCCAGAAAAGGAAAATGTGCTGCATGATGTCCACAACTCCACACAATTGGTATTCCTTCTCACGCACAAATGGCAAAAGACAAGGAATTATAGTGTATCTAAACCTACCTTATCTGGAATCTGATGAAACAGCTGAAGCATTGATTCAGTTGATACCACCAAAATTCAGCCTATCTCGAATCTTGATTCTTCACACCATTTTTCTATATACCATACTAACAACAAAAGTTCAGCCTGTCTCGGATCTTGATTCTTCTTCATCTTTACTTATTCGAGACGCTATTAAAGAATTATTGAAGATCAGCCACTCCCCTGGCCATAGCTAACTGTATGATTTTGGCCCCTCCCAAAAGGTGGTAGCTAGAACTAAGTTTTCTTGCCATGTCTCCTTTGATACAATGACAAAATCACCATAGGAACAGTGCCATTTTTATACCTTTGAATGTAATTTCTATGAAAGGAAAGGTAAATGGTGAACTTGTGGCTTTATCTATAAAGTCGGGCTAACGCCTTTTCTCTAAAAAAAAATGGTGAACTCAAGATTTTCTCGTTTGGTCTGTATAATCTTCAGTGGTTGGCTGGTTGCTTAACTAAAATCTGGTCTAGAAAGGATAAAAGTACAGTCAAGTCAAGGAATTCGAAACAGTCAAACCGATATCTCTCCCTTTATGATGATCTGGCTGCCTGTTTTCCCGGCACGGAATGTAGGGCATGATCAGGTGGAAAGTTCCCCCCTGCGTTTGATCTTTGTAATATCTTCACTGGGTATGACTTCTGTAATAGGAAGGTATGTTGCTGATGAGGTAATGGAAATTGATGAGGGAAAAATTATCCAGATTGGTTTGATTGCATCTCCTTTGACTAATGTATGTTGTTTCACTATGTTTAATTCCACTCCTTAGTTTGAAACGTGTTTTTGCATGCATTGATTTTTTCATGACTGTCTAACAATGTGTGCAACTCTATCTGCAGTCGTGCAAGATTCATCTTAATAACATCTGTCATTTCATTAAATGAACTTGAAGTTTCACAGAAGCGTATTGTGAGATATCAACCAGAACTGCACTGAATCTTCTAAGCTTGACTGCAGTGTTTATAAGATATTTTCCAATATGAAGACTTGTTGATAATGAAGATTTTATCATGGCGATCAGTAGTGTAAAAATTCCTTGGGAAGACAGGTAAGTAAAAATGAGGAGCAGCAATTGGAACAGAATGACTGAAAGTACAACTTGTGGTAGGGAAGCTTCATTTGTGTTCTGGACAGGTATGGCTCAAATGATACAACAAGGTGAGCATGTTGAAAGTTAGTTGTGATATCCATCTTCCACATTAGAAGTTATTTATTTTTTCCAAAATATTTTTGTCCAGTCCGTCCATCATCACTAGTTCACTACTTGTAGTTGTAGGGGAGATTTTTAGGTGTGTTTTCTACTTAATTTTGTGGTATCCATTAGATAAAGGGGTTTTAGATGTGATGCATCATGTCCACTGGTATTCCTTCTCACGCACAAATGGCAAAAGAGGCAATTAGAGTGTATCTAAACCTAGCTTAATCAGGAACCTGTTAAATCATCAGCTGAAGAATTGATTCAGTTGGTACCACAAAATTTAAGCCTATCTCGAATCTTGATTCTTCACGCCATTTTTCTATGTATGATACTAACAACAAAAGTTCAGCCTGTCCCGAATCTTGATTCTTCTTCATCTTTACTTATTCGAGACACTATTTAAAAATAAATATCAAGGATCAGCCACCCTCGTGGTCATAGCTAACTGTATGATTTTGGCCTCTCCGAATTCTCAAAAGCAAAGATTAGAAAAGGTGGTTGAATAGAACCTTTAGACAGAGAACATATATTCTTCCCGATTAGCCACATCTCATAGAGATTCCCTTGCACCTCAATCAAGCCTGCAACACTGCGCCGACCACTCCCTCTTCACCCGCCGCAGTCATCTATAAATAAGCACCGTTGGATCATCACCATCATCCAACTCCAAGAAACCACAGCCTACATCAAGCTCAAGTTAAGTGAGCTGACCAGAATATATCGATCACAAAACCCGAAGAACAGCAGCATACAGGCTAGCCACCAATTCGCTTGATCTGCAATGGCAGAAACTGTGACGAAGCTGGTGTCACAGCGGGCGGTGGTGATCTTCGGGGCGAGCAACTGCTGCATGTGCCACGCAGTGAAGACGCTCTTCACGGAGCTGGGCGTGAGCTGGGTGGTGCACGAGCTGGACAAGGACCCCCGCGGGAAGGACGTCGAGAGGGCGCTCGCCAGCATGGTCAGACGGAGCCCGCCCGTGCCAGCGGTCTTCATCGGTGGCAGGCTCGTCGGTCCCACAGACAAGGTCATGACGCTGCACCTCAGTGGCCAGCTGGTGCCGCTCCTCCGCCAGGCCGGCGCCCTTTGGCTCTGAACTGAAGAGTCAGGGACAGCAGTGGCTGTGCGTGCGTGCAGTTATGCGTGATCATAAGAGATCATATAGTGCGTGCAGTGCAGCTACATAATTTTGGAAAGGTCATCAAACATATTAAGGGTCATGATCTTTCAGTTGTACCTCTTGTTGTCATATGACAGAAGGAAAGGATGTTTGGCAAGAGATGAGCATCCTGAGCAATATAAAAGGAGCTTATGCTTATCTTGTGTTGATTAATTTAGCTAGCTGTTGTGCTAAGGCCGTGAGAGAATCCACGGTATATATAGAGCCTGTTCGGAACCTCTCCAATCTCAAAACTCCGCTCCGCACTGTAGAGGAAACGAGGAGCTCGGTTTGAGCCACTCCCTGAAATTGTGCTGCCACTCCCTCTGCTCCGGGAACCGCAGTTCTGGAGCAGAGAGGATCCGAACAGGTCCATAGTATCATATCACACACATTTTTCTCGGAGCCATAGAATACTCCGTAGATAACCGGAGTGATTCCGAGAGGTTAGTATGTTTATGTAGATACCTGATCCAGTGAGCTCAGTTTGTTGAGGTAGATGCACTGGCCCAATTGGCTCGGCATGCTGAGTGCTGATGTGGCACACTGCATTTGAAAGATACTGCTGATGTGGCACACTGCATTTGGAAGACACTGCTGATGTGGCACACTGCATTTGAAAGACACTCTGCTGATGTGGCACACTGCATTTGTAAGACACTATGCTGATGTGGCACACTGCATTTGAAAGACACTGCTGATGGCATGGCGTATTCATATGTAGTATCTCTTGCCAGGATAGTTCCTTTGGTGCCAAGGCAAAATCCTGAAAGTGATGGGTACTCCCACCGTTCCTAAATATAAGTCTTTTTAGAGATTCCACTATGGACTACATACGGAGCAAAATGAGTGAACTACACTCTAAAATATGTCTATACATATCCGTATGTAGTTTGTAGTGGAATCTCTAAAAAGACTTACATTTAGGAACGGAGGGAGTATATATCATGCATGGGAAGAAACCAAATTTTACATGAAAACAATTTGACGTTGAGCTCAGTATCCTCCAAGACGCAAACTTGTCAGTTTCCATCATCAAACTTTGGTGCCTGTGTCAACGCCCCTGACGGAGAAGCCCCACCAGCAGACGTGGCCCAGCACGGACAGGCGCGGTCCAGCCGCGCCCGCAAGCCCAACAGCAAGTACCTCGGCCCTGAATGGAAGACGGCCCAGCCCAGGACTACCACCACTACTTAAGCGCATCTCACTCACAAGCGAAGGCATCCAGTGGATCCCCGAACCCGGCGGCGGCGGCTACCTGACCTAGTTCATCTCGCAAGAACACTAGCCCCTTTCTTGTAATCCGATCTGTACCAGCTACCACTTCAGAGAGTTGTAATAGATCGATTCCACTAGTTGCTACTATATCCTGTCCCTCACAGCCTGCTTGCGATGAAACCCAAAACCGTCGAGAGCAGAGCAGAGTCAAGAACGCAGGAAGCAGGGCAGAGCCAGAAAGGAGAAATTGAGCTGCTGCTATGGCCCGTTTGCCATGTCACCGCTGAAACAAATCAATATAGGCAGCCTAGGCGGTCGTAGTTTATTTTTTTTTTTCTAAAAAGAGCAACACAAGGTCAGGTGATTCTTGGGATTCGTATCCAGACCGTCTTCTGACGTAAAAAGAACTGCTGCCGAGGGACGTAGATCGGCCAGCACCGTCCATCCATCATCTATCATCTGGCGTAAAAAGAAATACTGCCGAGGGAATCGATCCTGGAGACGACCCGATTCCCTCACGGCTGCCTTTTCTGTTGGTCTGTCGCCGTTTGTACTTCAAATTTCAACTATCAATTTCTTTCATGACAAAAGGGAAACCTTGAACAATTTCAAATTAATGTGATGATGAAAGATTGATCTAGTTGTGTGAGCCCTTCACGAGGAAGACAACAAGAGGAAGACAGACGCACAAAATCGAAGAGCAGGGTAGCTCGTCCCGATGGTGATCGTTTCTTCTGCCAAGGGAAGGCGACCTTTTTCGTTGTGGTCTCGTTCTCACGCCTTTCCTACTCGTACATTAGTTCTTCCTGTGTTCAGTCTTGTGATGACTCTAGAATATCAAATTAAAAAAAAAGGTGATTATCGTGTACCAGCCCGTGGTTGGATGGTTAGGAGGATAGTGGTATCCCCAGCCCATCAGATTTCAAGTCCTACACTTGACATTGGTGCTCGCATTATTCCTGAATTTATTTCAGGCTTCCGGTGATGTTTGTTCAGTGGGCGGAGATGTTCCCCTCGACTGCGAGGCGCCAGCGGTGACTTTGTAAAACCTCAATATGGTATATCAGCTCAGTCTCTTAAAGGTGCTCATAGGGATATGATGTGTGTGCGTATGTTCATAGGGATGAATAAATGCTCATGTATGTGAGCTACTTTGATTGTACCGTGTTAAAAAAAGTTGATTAATGAGAGCTCCGTTGATGTGTTTAGGGGGTTGCACCGAAGAAGTGTCCTGAGAATTACACTAGTAATCCATCATTTCATGGATTAAAAAAAATCTTGTATTGAACATTAATACATAACTCAACTTGCTCCTGTTCTCTCACCAAACTTGTCGGCCAATGTGTTGCAGTCCCTCCTACCCTTACGTTGAACTGGGCTGCACTGTCGTCTGTGGGTTGTAGTTCGCGGCGCAGGTCTGGTGATGGATGGTGTTGGGTTTACGCCAGACGATCTACTTCCGATTCTTGGGACCTTTCACGCTCGATTTATGACTTGAGACAGAAATATAATATAATTCACTTGGAGAGAGTGTAGTTAGATATACTACTAGATGTGTGCAGGTATGCTTGGGATGCGTAATTTTTGTCAATTTGCATATGTGGCCGAGTAGGGACACACTAAGCTAGTGCAGTGTAAAAACCATGTTCTGCACATCGTTTGGTATACTACATTGCACCACCGAGCACTTCAATGCCTGGCGTTTGGTTGCCATGCAGTTCGGGTTTAAGGCCGTGAACGTGCAAAACATGGCGTTTGGTTGAGCACGACATGTGATGTTCTCACCTCTCCTCACTTCACACTGTATATGTGGTGAACTACACACTACATTATTAGAACATCACGCTACAAATGCAATACGAATTAAACAATTTTGCAATGAAATAGTAGTTCGTCCTAGCTCCTAACAAATAGCACCACAAGTTAATAGCCATGTGGCTTAATAGGGGATAGTTCATCGATGACTTAATTAGGGGGTGTCCATCATGTGTTGTTGTTGCTTCTTCCTGTCATGCTGTTGCTGATACTTCATCTTCATCTGCTACTGCTTCCTCTCCTGTTGTTGATGTTGTTCTTCAGATCCTTGTGGTTCATCTGTTTGCCCATATTGCCTCAGCCCATTCCATCCTTTTGGTCTTCCAAGCTTCACTGTCATGTGCCTCCACACCATGAAGGGAGTCATCATCATCGGCAGTCACATCTTCCTCCTCCGACCCGAACTCTTCATAACCCCGTTGCAGGATCTAGTTATGCAGAATGCAACAAACAAGAACAAGCTTAACTTGAGTGGGGTAAGGGTGGAATGGCTTCTGATCCAAGATCTTAAATCGATTCTCCAGAGCTTCAAATGCCCTCTCAACCGTGACTCTAAGGCTGGAGTGTCTGAGATCGAACAATTCTTGCGCAATCCTAGGGTAGTTCCTAGAAGAGAACTCATTCATATGGTACCTGGTTTTCCTGAAGGGTGGAAGAATACCAGGCCAACATGCATAGCCAGCATATCCTAGGTTGAACTTGCCATCAAGGTTATTGATGCTATCATGCCTTGCCATGCTGTCAGCAAGAATTTAGCATCATGGGGCGATCCGTCCCAGCCAACCAACACATATGTGAACTTCAGATCGAAGTCAACAGCAGCAAGAACATTCTAGCTAGTGTATTGCTTTCTACCCCCTATATGTTGTAGCATGTGGCACTCTAGCAGTGATGTGAGTACAATCTATGGTGCCAATACAATCATGTGATGGCATGCAAACGTATTCCTATGGCTATATGACAACATTACAAGCATGTTATGTCATGAAATACGAGTAATGCTCACCTTCAAATACGGATACCATCTTGGGCTCGTGGGAATCTTGTGCCGAGTTTGCCCGGCTGGTGCCGTAATCATCTCCCCTCTGGAGCCCCCCAATGGCATACAACACTTGTTTGAAATATCGAGAAATGGTCTCATTGGAGCTCCTGAATGTGTTGTGAATAACCCCGAACTTCTGATTATGACCGATGGCATGAAGGACACATGGCAACTTGCTCTTCCACAGAGGTGTGGATGTTATCTTTTAGTAACACCATGTTCCTAAAGGTCTTCACAAGCATGGCAAATGGTGCTCGACGCATTCAAAGCATGTTAGCATCAACATCGTTGTTGTTGTGGATGTGGTTCAGATTGGCGATCCTCTTTGTATCTTGGATGAACAATGGACCATACCTAATGACAAGATTTTCACTACGACGAACTGCTCTTTGGTAAACAAACACCATCTAGGCCCGTATCACTGCTATGAGTGTTGCTTACTAAATCACCAACTTTGTTCGTTCATCTAGACATCGATGTATTGGTAAGCAATGGCAAAATCTAAGCAACATCATGCCTAGTGAATGAATATAGGAGGGGGGGGGTTGTATGCTTACCAGGTTTGGAGCTGACGAGGAGGACGGAGGCCATGGCTGAGACGAGGACGATGAGACAGAGCCGGAGAAGAAGGGGAGAAGCAGCTCCTGCTAGCGGTTAGTGATACTGGCGCCAACATCGTCGACGCTTGCGCGGATCTAAGTCACCGCCGTCGGTGGAGAACTGAGGAGAGGATAGTCCTAGAGCAAGAGGTGAGCGAGCAATGGGGGTGAGCCTAGATTTCCTAACATCCTGCGCGGTAGATTTCGGCTTGCCGCCATCTCCGCGCCTGATCCCCCTACATCGTCGTGCACGGCGTTTGACT